CGCCAGTCTGTACAGAGGGCGCGAGTGCAGACCACCCTGGTGATTCAGATAGGCCACCACCGCTGTGTTGTTCTCCTCGGAATGAACCAGGACGTGGTGGCCTTTGAGATCGGGCAGGAAACTCCTTAGAGCCTGGAACACCGCCAACATCTCGAGACAGTTGATATGCCACTCGGATTGATGCACCTGCCAGGATCCCCTTGCAAAGCGGCCGTCCATGACCGCGCCCCAGCCCGTGAGGGAGGTGTCTGTCGAAATCACCAGCCGGCGACAAGACCCTCCCAGCACGGGCCCCTGGGACAGGAACCAAGTTTCCTTCCAAACTGATAGGGAACGAAGACACTTGCGCGTAACCCAAATCAAACTGAGAGGATTTCCCCTCGTGGGAAAAACCCTTGTTCCTTAGCCACCACTGCAGGGGTCTCATGTGCAGCAGTCCAGATGGTATTACGCTGGACGCAGCCGCCAGGAGACCCAACACTCGTTGAAAGTGTTTTATAGTGATGGCGTGGCCTAACTTCACCCCTTTCACGGCAGCCAATATGGTGTCGACACGTGCCGGAGACAATTGTGCCCGCATCGTTGTCGAATCCCATACTACCCCTAGGAACGTAGTCCATTGGGTGGGTGCCAGCACACTCTTCTTTGCGTTGAGCCTCAGCCCTAGACGCCGCAGATGAGCCAGAACGACATCTCGATGCCGAACCGCGCCAACTCTCGAGACTGGGCTAGGATGAGCCAGTCGTTGATGAAGTTGAAATCCGGATGCCCTGGAGCCTCAGCGGGGTCAGAGCTGCATCCATACACTTGGTGAATGTGCGAGGGGAAGTGCCAGGCCGAATGGAAGAACCCGATACTGGTAAGCCACACCCCCGAAGGCGAACCTCAGGAACTTCCTGTGAGAAGGACGGATGGAGACCTGGAAATAGGCGTCCTTTAGATCTATCGTGACGAACCAATCCTCAGATTGGATGTGCGTCACGATGGTGGGGATGATGAGCATCTTGAACCTGAATCTCCTCAGAGACCGGTTAGAACCCGCAGATCCAAAATAGGGCACAGCCCTCCATCCTTCTTGGGGACTATGAAGTACCGGCTGTAGAACCGGCGTCTCTGTCTGGGGGGGAGACAGGTTCCACGGCCCCTTTCCTCAGCAGAGTACGAACTTCCTGTCCCAACACCGGACCTTGCTCCGGGCAGACCACAGTCCAAACCACCCCCTCTCTTCTGTTGAATTTTGGAGGGCGGGTTTTGAACTGTAGTCGAAACCCATGTATGGCAGTGCGCAGGACCCACGGAGAAATGTTCGTCAGGCTCTGCCAAGCCTCTGCAAAGTCTGCCAACGGAACCAACCCCTCGGGGCTGGTGGTCGGTGTCTCGTGTGATCTTCTGGTGGACCCCTGAAGCCCCAGAACGGCAGGGGAGAGCCGCCGAAGATCCACGGTGAGTGAGTCTGAACGCCGCCTGACTGCAGACCCTCAGGGCAGGCAGTACGGTGTGGACTCGATGGTGGCAGGTGCGTCCTGAATGTGTAAACGGCGGGATAACATCACCCGTTGCCACGGCGGAGGGGACCTCGATCGGCCTCCGGGGGGGGGGGGTGCGGGAGGGGAGAAAGACTCCCCTACCCCGGTCTTCCCTGAGCTCCGTCGGGACTGGATGACGGTCCTCAGATCGCGTCTCTCAGAAGGCTGAGGGTGAGAGCGCCGTCTCGCTGCCCCAGTTCCTCGGGGGGACCCCCGAGAAGCGACACTCTGCTTCCTCTCCTCTCCGTAGGAGCTCGTAGAGGGAAGGGACCTACGCCTGGCAGCCTCAGCTGCCTTGGGTCCAGACCGGCGAGGGAGGTACTGGCGGAACGCTTCGCACTGCGTCTAACGCTCCATGGTTCTGCGAAGCTCCACCAGATCTTCCTCAGAGGGACCCCCCCTCTGAACCATCTCCTGTAGCAGGTCGGCTTGGCAGGCTTGAAGCACCGCCATGGTGAGCAAGCTCGCACCTGCCTGGCCCGCTGCCATGTACGCCTTCCCCACGAGCGTAGATGTGGTGCGACATGGCTGGAGGGTAACGCCGGCTCCTCCAGGGAGGACGCAAGTCGAGGGGAGAGATAGCTCGCAAGAGCATCCTCCACCCGAGGCATCCACCCATAACCACGGTCCCTAACCCCCATCACATTACTGTAGTTCAGTGATCGGGGTGTGGAAAGCCGTGTAGAGAAGGGTCTGCCCCATGATTACTCAGTTCATCATGTAAATCAGGGAAAGAATGGCAGAGACCGGCGTGGAGGTGGTGCGTGGTGCTTAAGAAACCTTTCATCAAGCTACCACTAGCCTGTGGGTGTCTGCTCCTCCTGTGGCCAGTTGATGTTGAGCTTAGCCACGGCTCTAGTCACCACCTCCAGCAGCACGTCATAGTCGGGCGCCGCCAGATGACGCCGCCCTGACACCCGGAAGTCATCGTCCACTATGCTGAGCACGTCCGCCTCCTCGGAGTCGGATTGCTGCAGCGTCTCCGGATCCAAACCGCGAGCGGGAGAAGCCGAGAACAGGCTCCCGAACGAGGAAAGGAAGCGTCGGAGCCAGCGGATGAAGGTCGGGAAAAAGCCTCAGCCGTCCCGAAATCCTCCGACAGATCACGCTGTGAACCCCATGAGTGAAGCTGCCGGGCCGCCTCAGCGGCCGCAGGGCATGCACCACGGGGAAAAAACCTCCGGCCATCCTCGGAAAAGAGAGCCATGCTGTCCCTCAGTACCCGCACGGAAAGGGCTTCGCAACGGGCGCAGGCAGCCCCCTCAAGAGCTGCCCGGGCGTGCTCCATCCCCAAACATGAGACACACATCTCATGAGAATCTCCATCCGTGATGTACCGAGGGCAAGAAAAAACACACCTTCTGTACATCTGGTTGCCGGACATGCTGGTAGACTTCTTCTTCAGGTAAGACACACTGCTTGTAGGACTGGCGCTTTCTTCAAACAACATACAGAGCGCCTGCTGAATAGAAAAAAGCTAATAATGAGTGTGTACAGGTGTGCTTTATACTCCTTATTATTACCTCCTTACCGTTCTAGCAACAAGCCAATAGGATTGGAGTGATTTCATTCACGTTCAGACCTGCTTCGCCTAGAGGCATTCCCATAGTGTCGTAACCGACGCAGTTCGAGTTCCTTCGAAGGGGAACAAAAGCCTGATCAGTCCTGGCTAAATAAGCTCTAAAGGTAGAGCTGCACAGGTGATTGCCCAGCCCAATCAGCCTCCCTGCCTGCAGTCTCCTGCAGGAGAAGGAAGCAGGAAGGGGGAGGGGCCTTAACAGGATCTTATATTGCATTTCTGTCAATAGATTGTCAGAAAAATTACACACTGAACCTTTAAAGAAAATGGAGCTCACAGCTGGATGCTGAGATCAAGTCAAGTTTATTTGTATTATCTATTCCAGAGGTCACTAATAGGCGGACCGCGGTCCGGATCCGGACCCAGCTGCTGTCCTCTCCGGACTGCCGACCTACAACCGATTTATTAATGAGACTTACTACCTCGTGACGGAGCATTTCTATTTTAACCTGCGCAGCTTTTATAGCATTTACTGTACTGGTTTAGCAGCCCAGGAAACTCACAGACCAATCGCATGTGCTTCAATTGTCTCATGTGACGCTGCTCAGCCAATCAAATCTGTGCATTCCAATGCTTGCGAGTCGAGTCCGCCAGATTCACCAGAGACGTTTTGGAAACACACACGAATTGAGGAGACGAAAGGGAAAAGAGATTTCACATGACTTTTAATCAAGAATGTACAGATTTTTACATGTACATTCCTCCCACGGGCAGTTCAGAACCAGATTATCTCATAGATCTCCAATCCTAGCTGGCAGGAGAAACTAGAGCTCATGTTTCTCACTGAACAAGAGAAAGTAGGAGTGGTAGCTCTGTAAGAGGGAATGAAAGAGAAGAGGAGGCATTACAGCTGTTCAGTTGTTAAGATGTGTTGAGTGTTTATTATAAAATTGGTTAAGACTACACTTCATCATTTCAAGCTACACTTTTTATTTCATTTTTTCTAAAAAATTTGGCACTTTAGTTTACTTAAATTTAGATTTTTTTGTTAGACTACTTATTTATTATCCCTTTAGTTTGATGTGAAAACTGACTGAAATATTATTTTATTTGACAGTCCGTTGTTGATAAAAACATATGTTGATACAACTATATGTTATGGTACTGAATGAAAATGCAAGTTAGTCATTTTGATGTTCCGGACCTTTGCTTTGGGAAATTTTCTCTAACTGGACCTCTTTGAATTCTAATTGAATACCCTTGATCTATTCCATAAACCAATCACAATGTGTTTTAAGACAACATATTATTGACAAGGTTCGTGGTTGAGTTTTTTGATTTGATTTTACTAAATATCCATCCTCACGTTACTTCCTGCCTTTGTGTGTCCACCTGTATGATTGGCTGCCCTGTCGTCATTAGTTCCACCTGTGTCTACTTAATCTCCCCTCACTTGTGTATTTAGTCTGTATATTTCCCTTGTCTGTGGCGCTTCGTCTTCGTCTACTAATGAAGCTTTCTAGCCATTTCTCAGTGTTTTCTTCTTCTTGATGTATTTGACCTTTTGGATTTTGTTTTTTGCCTGCTTCCTTTGGACTGTCTGCCTGTGTGGACCATGGCCTGCCTCAGCTTGCTGTAAGTCAGGCGTGCCACATGTATAGCAATTTTAAGTCTCTTTAGCGTCAGCTAAATTACTAAATGTAACGTAAATGTGGACCTGAGAAGAGCCTTTAATCTCTGTCTGGTTCAGACGTCTGACTTGACAGTTGTCCAGAAGACACTCATTGTCCACAAGGAGCCACAGAAGGTCACTGCTGAAAGGGCTGGCTGTTCACAGAGAGCTGGATCAAAGCATGTTCGTGGAAAGTTGACTGGAAGGTTAAAGTGTGGTAGGAAAAGGTGCACAAGCAACAGGGGCGACGAGGAGCTTCACAGGGAGTGGACTGAGGCTGGAGTCATCGAGATCCACCAGGCACAGACGGGTCCAGGAAATGAGCTTCATGTGTCGCATTGCCAGTGTCAGGCCACTCCTGAACCAGAGACAGAGTCAGAAGAGTCTTACCTGGGCTAAGGAGAAAAAGAACTGGACCGTGGCTCAGTGGTCCAGAGTCCTCTTTTAGATGAAATCCAGGTCCCAGAGTCTGGAGGACGAGTGGAGAGACACAGAATCCAAGTTACTTTAAGTCCAGGATGAAGTTTGGGTGCCATGTCCTCTGCTGGTGTTGGTCCACTGGGTTTTATCAGCAAAATATATTAAGAGTCACTTAAAGTTATTCATTATCAATATGTGTCTTATTTGTCCTCAGGACTAAAATGTCAAGTTGTATAAACCAGTTTATATTTTAGGAATAAAAGAGCAGTGGAGAGAGAGGACGTCCTTGGTGTTTGTCTCTCAGCTTTTAGAAGTTTTATGATTTGTTTCTGTGATTCTCTCTGAAAGTTTAACAGAGTGACTCCCTCTAGTGGATGTTGTGGAGTATTCTGTTGTCTTTGCTCCAAAGGTTTTTGTACAGAGTTTTGGTGTTTCCTGTCACTGTGGGCCTCACAGCACAGTAGTACACAGCAGAGTCTGTCACTGCAGCAGAGGAGATCTGCAGATCGACTCGATTCCTCTCCTCATTCAGGTTAGCGGTCAGTTGAGGGTGTGGAGGTTTTGCTTCCACCACTGAAGGCTCTTTTGCATCAGTGATCAGGAGAAGGAACTGAGGAGCTGATCCAGGATCCTGTCGATACCACTGGAGATTATCGGCTTTAACTGAATAGCTACAGGACAGAGTAACACTACGGCCCTCTGATGAGAACACTTCAGCTCTGCTGGCAGTAATATCATCTTCCAAGGTGTTACCTAGTGAGGGAAACAACATGTTAGATTCAGAGTTCTGTTCCAAAGGCAGACATCCATCATTTAAAACCAGCACTCACTGTCAGAAACACTCGTACCTACGAGAGCTGAAAAGAACAAAAGTGCAGCGAGTTTCTCCATGTTGACAGAGGAGAAATGCTGGAACTGAATGTTCAGTATGAACACGTTCTGTCAGTTGTGTTTGGTCTGATGTTCACAGCTGGAATCAAAGAGTTCTCTGCCATGAAGCAGCTCTGCAGTCAGTAGGAGGAGACTCATATTTCACAGTAGTTTCATTTCTGAAGCTCTTCATCACAGCTGGGTCTCATTCTAAATCTGCTAATGCCTCTTAATTCTGTTTTTGTTCATAAAATGGCAATAAATATTTGAACATCATGATTTTATGTTGTTTACACTTTAATAGTTTTGTCTTTTGGATATAAATTGAAGGCGTTTTAAAGCTGAAACAATTTTGAGATTCAACCTCTTGGAAACTAACACCTACTTCCAGAAAAAAAGGCCTAAAATAACATACCTAAAATAAATCAGTAATAACTCCTCAACCATTACGCCTAGCTGCATAATTCTGGTCTCCTTTGAGGCCAGAAACTAAGGGATATGGAGAAACTGTAAATGAACCATTTGGTGATGGTGCAGTGGATAAGACTATGCCTTTGGTGTGAGAGACCCGGGTTCAATCCCCCACTGTGACACATTCACCAATGTGTCCCTGAGCAAGACACTTAACCCCTAGTTGCTCCAGAGGCTCTGACATGTGTAGCAATAGTAAGTCGCTTTGAATAAAAGCCTCAGCTTAAATATAAATGTATTGGGAGTTTTCTTCAAAACACTATTTCTGTCCATACAACCATGTTCCAAAAAATATAAAGCTTCCAAAACATTGAAATATTGATAAAAACAGTGAATATTGATCAACATTCCTGTGACCTAAAGCACTCCCATGCTTTACAGGCATACAAGTTGATAACAGAACCTCCTACAGGGCTGTAGGTGGGCTCGTTCTCTTCGTATTGAAGAGACGAACTGATGGTACACTGGATGTCTGTGTAGCTCAACGGGCCAGTAGAGGCCGATAATGACCATCTGTTCCAAAGCAACTCTTCTTCTCTCCTTCATTTTGATGAGAAAAGAAACCTAAAGAAGCGGCACGGTGGTATAGTGGTTAGCGCTGTCGCCTCACAGCAAGAAGGTTGCAGGCTCGAACCCGGCCCCGGCCTTTCTGTGTAGAGATGTTCTCCCCGTGTCTGCGTGGATTCTCTCCAGGTGCTCCGGCTTCCTCCCACCGTCCAAAGACATGCAGGCTAGGTTGATTGGTGACCCTAAATTGTCCTTAGGTGTGAGTGTGACTGGTTGTTTGTCTATGTGTGGCCCCGTGATGGATTGGCGACCTGTCCAGGGTGTACCCTGCCTAAAGAGCTCACTGATTGTGTAATACCAAGATGGCGGGCTCTATTGACACAGAAAACAGCTGTTTTTGGACTGAATCCGGGAAAAGACAAAAGTATGTCAGCGTTGTAACTGTAAGCACATATTGCTGCGTTTGTTATTAGTCGGCTCTGAGTTTTGTGAGTTGATTGATAGGAGTTATACAGCTGATCAGAGCTGGAGCTCAGCTTTCTTTAGAGTGGTCGTAGTAGGATGAGATGAGATGAACTGCAGCCCTGTACAGTGATTACAGAGCAATTTATGTTGTGATATAAGTTCATTTAGATGCGTGGTTGGTTAGGTGTGGATAAAAATGGTCTGTTTGAGATGTAGCTGAGCCTCCTAGCTTCAAGGAGGTGTGTGGCATGCATATGAAGACAAGACAATGTGATCATCCGTGACTTCCCATTTGCAGTTTGAGGCGAAAATCAATCGTCAGTGCTTAAGTCAACCTGACTGTATATTTTAAAACATCACGTATTAACTTTTGATATTTCACCAGGTGACAATTTAAAACATCATAAAAACATATTCATGGTACCATGGCTGTTGCTACGAGACATCCTGTCCCTACAAAACCAGAGTAGAGCTGTGTTTGTACACTCAGCAGGTGGGTGTTGGGCTGGCTGGTTTGTCCCTTGTCGCAGATTATGTTTGTAACTTTCATGAACAAAATCTGAAGGAGCATCCGGGGGGAGGAGGGTGTTCGGTTTGGGGGCCTGAGCATTTTTTCTCTGCTATTTGCAGATGATGTGGCTCTGTTGGCTTCATCAGACTGTGACCTCCAACATGAACTGGGACGAGTTGCAGTTGAATGTGAAGTGGTCAGCACCTCCATGTCTGAAGTCATGGTTCTCTGCTGGAAAACGCCGGATGGCTCCTTGTTGGGTGGGAGAGAGTTGTTGCTCCAAGTGACGGACTTCAAGTATCTTGTGGTCTTGTTCACCAGTGACGGTAAAATGAAGCATGACATCGACAGGCAGATTTTTGCGGCGTCAGCAGTCATGCAGGCGTTGTACCAGACCTGTTAGGAGTATGGTTTTGTGTTCATGTCTTTCCTGTTTAAGTCCGTTTTTGGTTCTGAGTTTCTCTCTGTAGCCTTGTTTATTTTTATTCAGGCACATGTTCTAGTTTACTTAGTATCTGGTTTCATGGTTTTGGGTTTTGTATTTCTGTGGTTCATTATTTGATCATGTTTAAGTCTTTTGTTCATTCTCATGTTTAAGTTTTCTTAGTATCTGTCTGGCCTCTTATCTTAGTTCTTAGTCTTGCATTTTACTTCTTAGCCTCAGTTCTTAGTCCAGTGCCTTTTGTTCTTAGTTGTGTGCTTTAGTTCATGTTTAGTGTCATTCCTGGTCTGTGTACTTCTGTGTTTTATTATTTTGATCTGTGTCTTAGTACTTAGTCTTATGTCTCCATGTTCTAGTATAGTCCTGTCTCCTGTTTGGTCCTGTCTCTGTCCATGCCCTGATTTTGCAGACTTTCCATGTTTTGTGTTTTACTTTGGTAGATCTTTCCATGTGTGTTCCTGTGTACTTTACTTCCTATTTTATTTTGTAATCTTCTGTGCCTGGTGTTCTTGTCTAGCTTTGTTCCTGTTGTTGGTTAGTGTATTGTCTTGATTATTAGTTTGTTACTTCTGCCTTTTTTCTTTATGGATCTGTGTATTGTTGTGTTTATAGTCATTTCGGTTTATTCTGTTCTGTATTACTTTCTTGCCTGGTTAGCTTGCTGTTTCACTGTGTGTCTGCTGTGCCTGATTAGCTCCTCATGTCTTTCACCTGTGCACTCCCGCCCTGCTCGTTTACTTGTGTATTTAAGCCCTCAGTTTTGTTCAGTCTTTGTCACGTCCTTTGTCTGTGTTGCGTGTTCTGTCCCGTCCCTGCGCTTTGGATTATTTTGTTGGATTGTACCTTGTTCTTTGTTCTCGGACTCTTCCCTTTGGATTATGTTTTGTTTGGCGTTACCTTTTGTTTGAACATTTGCCGCTGTGCTCCCAGCATAAGCCTGTTTAGTTTTGGGTGCATTTGGGTCTGCACCTCAGCTCTCTGCTCCTGCACTCAGCTGCCCATGACAAGACCATTGTGGTGAAGAGGAAGCTGAGCCTGAAGGCAAACCTTGTGTATGGAATTGTTTCATATTATAGGGACTGTGGTCTCTGTTGGACATGTTGAAGGTCAGATCTGACACATTATTAATTTTAGTTTCACTATACATTTATTTGTTGTAATGGAGAAATGTGCTTGTGCCTCCTGCAGGTGGTTTCTCTCTGATGTGGATTTGCTGCTCCTGTGAATCCTCCCCCAGTGTTTCATTAGCAGCTGGAACCACAGTGACTCTGATAAAACAGGAATTAGCAGAATCCATCTGATATGAAGCTGTGGTTTGAATACCACTTCCCTCCTCTTTGAAGAGTAGTCAGATATCTGGGTTCAGGTTTTTGTACAGCCTCTTCTACACTTTGTATCACTGTGTTTCTAGAGCACAGTAGTAGAGAGCTGTGTCTGCCAGGGTTAGATCTCTGATGGTCAGTTTAGTTGATGATGCTGATGTTTCAGATCCATATCTTCTATCAGGAATATGTGCAGCTGTGTACAATTTTGCTCCTTTCCAGAGTATAAACTGAGGTGCCTGAAGGTCAGAATGATGTTTGTACCAGTAAAGGGCAGGACTGCTATAAGTTGTCTGATAGTTGCATGTGAGTGTGACAGATTGTCCTTCTCTTTTATTGACTTCCTCTCGTACAGGAGAGATTGTGTCTCCAGCTGTTAGTCCTGGAAAAAGTAGAGCAAATGAAGCCATTAGACTAACATTGTTCATGAGGCTGAGAGGAGAAGACAGTGGAAAATGGCAGCTGTACAGTGTTACTCTGTGGACACAAACAGCTCAGCTGTTTCCATAAATCTTTAGAAAAGAATAAAAAGATGTTGTGCTTTCTATCTTACCAAAGAAAAGAGCAGCAAGACTAATCCCCAGCCAATGTTCCATCTCTACAACAAGGTTTAAATCAACAGGAGAAACTAGCTGATGTTCAACATTCAGTCTGAGAATTGTTCTCTTCACAGCAGCAGTTATTATTGACAGAATGGTTGAACACAGTGCAGAAGTAGTGCACCGCCTACTTGATAATGTGGCTCAGCTTGGATTAACAGCAGCTACAGTGTCATCTAGTGGCCAATCAGAATCAGACCACAGAAGAAGAAAAGATGCCACTGAAACTTCAGACTAGTCCAGCAGCATAATCCAGTTGTCAGCTGATGATCTGTTTGTTCAGCATTTTCCAAACTCAACATAGTTAAAGACTCTACTTCTGTGCTGCGTTATCACCTCCCCACATCTCTGAAGTTGTGGATTTACAGCAGCAATTAACAAAGTGATGCTACAAACTGTTGAGTCACCTTTCAAGCTTACAGGTGGAGAGGATTTGATAGTGAAACGAGACATTTTCACTGGAATATTCCTTCAGACTAACAAAACCCACATCTGGATGCTGAGATCAGGTCTAGTTTCTGAGTACAGTCCAGTATCACATACAGAGTCTGACTGGGTTTTACATCCAGCAGCATCAGTGAAGACTCCCCATACTGTCCTGCCTTAACATGGAGGAAAACTGATGGAAACCTCGCGACAGGAAGTTCAGGGAGACCAAGACGTCGGTGTGTTAAGATCATCAGGAATTTAAACAATATCTTATCTACATAAATAACATCACTCTCCTTATTGTCAGTATGTCAGAGCTACAAACACTCTCCTTTTATTGTCAATGCCTCATTTTTCTTCTAGTTTTCATCATCAGTGCAATGAATCCAGACTGTATGATAAACTGAAGTTTAACAGTGTGACTCCCTCTAGTGGACGTTGTGGAGTATTCTGTTGTCTTTGCTCCAATAATGGAACATGATGTTATGTATTAAAAATAATTTGATCAGAAGGCAACATGTAGATAGAAAATGAGAGGACCTAGGATTGAACCCTGTGGTACACCACAAGAAATCACAGCC